ATTATGGGGACCCGGAGAGAAAAAAGAGCCTCTCATCCCCATGTCTAGCTTAGAGATTTTCATTAACCAAGAAGCAAGAACTCCAGCACCATTTGTTGTGAAGGTTGCCAAACTACAGTCCATAGAGTTACTGTGTATTGAAAAAGCAGTAAAACCAGGCTTAAGGTAGAAATGTGGACAGGGTTTCATTCCTTTTTCCAGACACTCTGAGAACCTTGCCTACTGGGAAGGTGTTTTACCTTCCTGCATCCCTGAGATCAAGATGGTTACCTTATCAATTGTAATCCTGTCAAGTGCCCATCGGAGCCATCCTAAGTTTTCCTTTAGTTTTCTTAGGAGTAGTTTGAATATAATTGCTTCAAAAACTCCCAAAGCCCTAATAGGACTATTGTGAAACTAAAATGAAGTATGACATCTTACAGAAGTTCATACCATGCTCCTAAGTATGCCTTCGCCTGCTTTCTGAGTGCCTCTTTCTCCTCGTGGACAAGCCCATGTGGTAGAATATTATTTGAAAATGTGTTACATTTGTTTATGCTGTGGAACATTTGTTTTAATGATACAAAGATGTGGTGCATTCTTTTATGTTGTGTTTGTTTAACTCTGTGAAACTGTGTCACTTTGCCCGTGTCTAAAACATTTGATTGATCGATTAGAGAACTGAATGGCCAATAACAAGGCAGGAGAAAAAGAGGAGGGGCTGGCAGGCAAGAGAAATCTGGGCAAGGAGATTTAGGGGCAAGAGAAGGAGGACTCCAGGAGCTAGCCCCCCAACTACATAGCAAGCCACAGAGTAAGAAATAAAGAAAGGTATATAGAATAAAGATAAAAGCCCAGAAGCAAAAAATAGATGGGAATAATTTAAGTTAAGAAAAGATGGCTAAGAACCTGAAAACAGCCTAAATGCCCCTCGACCAAAGAATGGATAAGGAAAATGTGGTACATTTACACAATGGAGTACTACACAGCAGACAAAAAATAATGACATCTTGAAATTTGCAGGCAAATGGATGGAGCTAGAAAACATCACATTGAGTAAGGTAACCCAGAACCAAAAAGACAAATATCCTATGTACTCGCTCATAAATGATTTTTAAATATAAAGCAAAGAAAACCAGCCTACAAATCACAATCCCAGAGAACCTAGACAATAATGAGAGACATACATGGATCTAACCTACATGGGAAGTAGAAAAAGACAAGATCTCCTGAGTAAATTGGGAGCATGGGGACTATGGGAGACAGTTGAGGGGAGGGAAGACGAAGGGAGGGGAGTAGAGAAAAATGTATAGCTCAATAAAATCAATTTTAAAAAAAAGTAAAGCTGGCTAGAAATAAGCCAAGCTAAGGTTGGGCATTTATAAGTAATAATAAGTTTTCATGTGTATTTATTTGGGACCTGGGTGATGCCTCCCCCTAAAGAGCCAAAAGAGCCCAAAGAGTAACAAACAACAACAAGCCCAATATAAAGCATCTTTCAAAAGATCTCCAACTCTGTTTCCTACTGCCTAGTCCCCAGATATTTTGCTTTGTCAAAACCACAGATCCAGGTTTGGACTGAATTTAGGTCCCTAAAAGACTAAGGGAACTCCTCAGGCTGTTGCAGAGGACAGAGTGGAGCTGAGCCTCCTTCCCTGTCTCCCTTGACAATAAGAAGCAAGAATAACTTCCAGAGAAGTGTATTCTGTATTCCCGTTTCTGTATTCCTGGACCCATTAGCCACCCACACAACACGACTGGACAAAACCTGCCCATGCCTTCCCTACCCATCTGAACTCAGAATCCTATTTGCAACTGAGATTTCCGAGGGCAGGCCTGCCTGTGCCTGGCAGCTCAACTGTAGGCTTTTGAAGCCCTAGGGAAAAGTCTCTTTCTCTCTGGAATCTGCATCTTAATGCATTCACTGAACCCTTAGAGCTGGTCATAAAAAACGAGCCTTGTTAGTGTGGTTTCTCGCAGTCAGTCATGTCCCAGAATTATTTTGTCCAGGAGGAGAAGTCAAATGTTAACGGATTGATCTTTCTCTTTTAATAAACAAGCACAGAGGTGAAGGTTGTGAGGCCCAAAGCATCCCAGAATCTGAAAATGATTGTTTAATCGAGGCTGTTTTTCTTTTTCAGAACACCTTTAGGTGATGATGCTGTTAAGACTACCATCTTACTTTAAGGCTGAATGCCCTGTGTTATAATCAGATGGGGTTTTGTGGGGCTTTTTGTTTGTTTTGGTTTTGTTTTCCTTTGCCAGTGTCATTTGCTTTCAGTACAGGATCTATACAAATTTGATCATTTTGCCTAGAGAAAGAAAAGAACTCTGTACACGAGCTCTCTGGGTTCCCTTGGCCTGGCAATATGCTGGCGGTTTGCAGTCCCCTCTAGAGAATGCTCTGTGTGTGAATGAATACATGATTGTGTCTGAATGTTATAATATAGCCCTTCCTTCAAAAGCGCACAGAAATTTCATTAATGGCATGTGAGTCAAAGAACAGCAAAGGGCCACATTGATGCATACATTCCGCATCAGGTTACAGTCCCAAGGGGGCACCAATTAGCAAGTTAAATGCAGTTTCTATTTCAAGCTAGATTACAAAGCAATGGGATAATGCCGCAGGCCTTTAAAGGGAACGCATTTTAATTGATCAGTCTGTAGTCCTTGAATCCAAATGAGTCCTCTTCTCATTCCCAAGGGGGAAACCCTAATTCTAGGTCAGCTGAAGAATGGAGAGGAGTCTATTTCACAAGATGGCACATTCAAATTAATAGCCTTCTTTCCACGGGCCTATTCATAATGGGAGGCTTTTTGTAAATCCTCTAACTACTCCTGTTCAAAACCTATGGATTCATTTGGGTAATTGTCACCCACCCCCACCCCACCCCCATGCCCTGGGCTTTGCTGCTAGAATACCACTGTCAGGTATTCGGGAAGTAACCTTGGAAACAAAGATAATTACCTTCCAGTCTTCGCTGTCAAAATGTAAAGAGCATACAAAATGAGGGGCGGAAGTGACTCTTCCATCTTGGCAGCTGCTGCTCCACAGAGAATTCCCATATGTCCCTTGCAGTTCTAGGTCCCGTTGGGCCTTCTCTTTTTATTCTGTCTCAAGCACCATAGGAAGGAAAAGGGGCAAGTGGGAGGATGTTTCAAGCGAGGTGCTCATGTAGATGGATTTGTTTCCCCCAGCACAGAATTCCCCTGGCCCATGGTGAACAGCCAGGATAACGGGTTCAGTGAATGCTGTATTCAGATTCTAATGGAAATCACACCATTGCAGATGTGTGCTAACAAATGCGCATGCTGCCTCCTGCATTGCTGAACACAGTGCTGTTTCTAGTTGTTTTCCTACAAAACCTTCAACTACTTGAACCTTGTTTATCTTCCGTGGAAAAGGTTTATACATGATGTGTTTTTCTTATAAATATTTGGCATGAATAAGCCCAATTCAACAAGATATATGGGATTTCTGTTTTGAGATGGTGGTCTCAGTATGTTGCCCAGAGTAGTATTGAACTACTGGACTCCAGTAATCCTCTTGCCTCGGTCTCCCCAGTGGCTGGGACTACAGGTACAAGCCACCCACCCTATCAGGTTGATGTATAGATGGGAGTTCTGTTTGTTTGTTTTGCTGGGGACCGAACCCACTAGCAGACATATGCTCTACCACTGAGACACCACACACAGCTCAAGATGAATATTTAAAGTACTTAGTGTGAAATATGTGAATTTTGAAAATAACTTAATTGAAAGCAAGGATTCTTCTTTTCTTATAGTATATGTACCATCCAATGACTAATTCAATATGGAACTTTCCATATCATATAGATAGTGGATTTGAGCCTTAACAAAATTACATACATATTAAATTCAAAACTCTCCTAAATCCACTGAATTTGTCTCATGGCTTGACTTAGTATTATGCTGTGAATGTGCCTTGGAGATTTATTAAAAAGTGGAGACTGTTTTTATAACATTAAACTAGACCTTCATTTTGAAGCAGAACATGCTAATCTATATTTAAACAAAGTGAGCACTGGAGTAAATTTGATAACACACTATCCAACCATACCGGACGGCCTGAGGCATTACAGTCCGAGATAGGGGCACAGCTTGATTGGGGTTCACCCCACAGTCTGGCAAAAAACACCTGGGAGCCCAAGCCAATTAGACAACGGGCAACCCTAAGAAAACTACCTCCAGAGAAGGGAAAAGCAAGCCAGTCTTTCCCACCTGTGGCTTTCAGACAATGACTTGAGCTTTTGACAATGACTGCTTCTAAAGCAGTGAGAAAGACCTTTGAGCTCCAGCCATAGTGCTGGGGCCTGGTCATACCAGGTAGGGGACACACTTGATTTTCACACAGTCCAGTGGTGGATAATCTGGTCCCTCACTGTGTGGTTGCTCAATGCTTCTTCTCAGGTTATAATAGTATTAATCATTAATTAAATTTATTTTTTCTCTCTCTCTCTCTCTCTCTCTCTCTCTCTCTCTCTCTCTCTCTCTCTCAAGATGGGACCTTGATTTGTAGCCCAGGCTGGCTTTGACCTGGTCATCACACTGCCTTAGCCTGTACGTGTTGGTATCACAAGCCTGTGTCTGGATGAGTCTCCATCTTGAAAAGATACATATTTTGCCTCCTTTGCCCAGCTATCGTCTGATCAACCCCTCTCTTTTAATCTCATCACTCAGCTTTACTTTACTGGGTATTAAAATGAACTCTGTTCCTTCTAGAATAGGAGATTTCTGAGCCCCCGTGGATCTAATATGCACTCACCATCCATGTCTTCCTCGGATGGGAGGTAGCAGCAGTACAAAATTACTCATGCAATATTTAAGCTCATATGCGATGATCAGTCAGCCATAGTGTTTCCCGTGGTGCCTAATAATTCTGAAGGCCCCACTTAGGCAATATGGAACTTGACTGCCTCGTACATCATATTTCTCTCCACTTTAGGGAACATGTAGCTATCTGAAGGTATGAAAATTCATTTAGTCTAGATTCATATTTTACATTTACTCAAATATTTATTTGAACTCATAAAAAGTTAATTGAGGTAATTTAAAAGGTGAAGAACTAAAAGACCTCTCAAATATTGACCAAGGAACTCTGAGAAGCAACTTCAAGAACTTAACATCCAGATCACTGCAGGCACATTGCCATAGCCCTGCACACAAGCACATCTCTCCTCAAAACCATGCTCCCCAGCTGCTGAATTCATGGGCTGATTTGCTCTGCAAGGTGCCAAAAATGTAGCTAAAGTGAGAAATGCAGCCAACTATAAGGAAGAAATATAAATGTACAAACAGGATATTTTTTTCTAGAGTCTTGGGAATTCAGAAGGTTCATAATCGTCATACAAATATATAAAATTTTTAAGGAGTGCATTTATTTTAATCCATTTTTTTCTCCTTAGTTCTTCACATCAACCCTGCAAAAGAAAAGGCAAACATATCATTAGGTTCTTTCCCTCCTTGATTTTATTAAAATATGACTAACAAACAGAAACTGTATATTTACAATGTGATGTGATGTTTTGATATATGCATACACCATGAAGTGATTAAATCAAGCTAATTAGCATCTATAACAACTCACACATTTTTTATGGTTAGAACACTGACAGTCTACTCTCAACAATTTCCAAATATGTACTACCTTATGAACAGAAGTCACCATACGGGACAACATTCCTGCATGTAGCTGACATTTTGTGCCTTCTCAACATTTTCACATGTCTTCAGCGCCATAGAAACCACCATTATATTTTCTCTGTTTGTGCAAACTCAATATTTAGATTTCACATACAAGTGAGGTCATATAGCAGCCTTCTTTCTCTGTCTAGCTTAGTTCACTTAATGCACTGGCCAAGTTCACTAATTTAGTTTTCACGTGATATTTTTAGGAACACCTTATATACCAAAATGATTAGCACAAGTTAAATGAGGTATAAGACCCCATTTTGACTTACAAATGCATCTCTCAATTCTAAGTATGCAATGTGAACTGCGGGAAAAGTATAGTATAGCCATCAACTTTGGTTCTAGCGATTTAAGTAACTGTGGACGAAATTAGGATGGTGCTCCTTGAAAGAATTAAAAATGCATGCAGAATTTAAAACTATGACTTGGCAAAACCTAGCCTGGTAGAAATTTCCATTCGTGAGTCTAATTCAGCCCTTTCTCTATCCATTTCCACTGTCATGTGACTATAGTTTCCTACAGTTGTAGGTAGGGTGGAAGCCCTAATGCCTGGGTTTGAACGTGTGATTTTCTTTGGCCAAGGAAATGAGACGGAAGTGTCTTTACATGTATTACATGATTTCGCTTGTTTGTTTGTTCCTCTGTTAATGCCATAGCATGAGTAAGCCCAGGCAAGCCTTTTGACCCCCTAAAGAATGAGAAACCTGTAGCAAAGAGCTAAAAGACTTGAAGACTCCTACGTGAGTAACAGCCAAGATCAGCTAAACACAAAACACATGAGCCAGAATGAAAACATCTTTTGTTTTCATCATTGGATTTGGAAGCCATTCATTATGCAGCGATAGCTAATAACACGGTGCCGTTTCTTTCCAAAGTTCTTCCTCAGCAAGTCTCACACATTATTGACACATTTGTTTCCCATTAGTCTTTAGTGCCATTCTTTGTGTGCCTTACTCATGTGAATGGGCAGATTGTTTCTAAGTAGAATAAATAGCTTTTTTATTACCAATGGCAGGATTTAAAAAAAAATCTGCAGGCAAAGGTGACATGACTGCTGGTGCAAAAACTAAGACTTGGGTTCTCTCCGCAGCCCTTGCTTTCTTCTCCACTTCAAACGCTGGCAAGCCAAATGCTATATTTCTCCATCTCTCTCATAGCTAGTGGGAGTCGCAGAGCCCAGATATGGCCCGTGAGCCCTGAGGAGAAGTGTACAGCTGACATCTTTTGGAAAGCTTTGCTTCACAGTATGCATCTGTAGAGCTCACAGAGCCCTACGTGGCTCTGAACATTTGTAACATGGCCGGGATGTAGGCTGTACTGCTCTCCTTGCTGAGATGAAATGCAGAGAGCTTCCAAAAGCAAAGGGACCTTGCTCAAAGCCTCACCTCTTCTAAATGGAAAAAAAAAAAACGGATTTTAACTTAGGTGTCCAGACTCTGAGGCTCTTTCCAGTCTACTAACAAGGATGATTTGGATGGCTCTTTGAACTAGAGGGAAAAGCAGGAGGCCATTATGGTTGTAAACTGAAATGACCTCTTGAATTTCTAGAGAATTTGATGTTTGAATTGTAGTAAGACCACAACATGAGATCTACTCTCAACAAACATTTAAGTATAAAATATGTTATTGTTGGCTTGGGTAAAATGTATAGTAGATCCCTACAGATAATTCATCTTGTTTAACTGAAATTTTATATCCACTGGTGTGTAACCCCTTATTTCTTCCTGCCACCTGCCCCTAGCAAGAATCTTGGCTTTTATGGGTTTGACTAGTTAGGGATATCATATAAATGAAATCAGATAGTGTATGTCTTTCTGTGAGTAGTATGTTTCACTTTGTATAATGCTGCCCAGTTCATCCATGACCTTTAGTGCAGAATTTCTAGGCTGGATAGAATTGCCTTGTATATTAACAGTACATGTTATTTATCCATTGCACTGTTATATAGTTAAGGGTTTTTTTTTCTAACAGTTTTCAAAAGTCACCAAGAGTAAGTAAGATGCCGCATTTGTCCCTGTCCTGGGTTTCTAGATGAGATGGAGATCACTGACTGGCTGCCTCACGTCCCCACACTGGGCACCATGCCGGTCCTGTCTGTAACCATCCTCTCTCATACTTCAGCCCTCTGAGCTCACCAAATCACGCATGCACTGCTTCTGCAACATGGCAAGGCCATCAGACTTCTTATCCCTTGCTAACACATTGAGACTGTCACCCCACCTCTCCATTCTGCTCCGGGTGGCCCCTGAATAGGGTAAGTCTGCTGCTATGCCTCATCTTCATCCCCTTGCATTTCCCACTAGAACTCTCCTGTCATGGGCTAGAACTTTCTGAAGGATTTGCACATGCCCTATCCATTTCCATTTCCATCCGCTGGCCTCTCAACTGCACCTGACACAGAAGCCTCGGGACTGATGAATAGGGACCACTGGAGAAATGATAATTGAGTTGGAGTTACAGATAGCCTCACAGTCTCCAATGTGAGATGGCAGGAATGAGCAAGGGGTCGTAGATTTAATAAACCAAGACTGATGATTTGATGTGCTATGTCCCCGCTGTGCTGTCAATTCTTCTCTAGACCCCAGACGGAGTCCCATCATGACTAGAGTGTGCTATATTCAATTTATTGCAGTGAGCGCTGTGTTGGGTGACATATGGCCAGCCTTTCTGGCTAAGTGAAAGTCCATAACAAGCTGACCTTGAAGCTAAGACATTCCTTGGACTTCTCTGAACAGCATAAAAGGGGTGGTGATCCATATCAAATTGTCACTGAGGCATATTCTGTGAAGTGTGATTTCTCTCTGAGAAATGTCCAGACAGTGAAGCACTGTCTACAGCCCAGAGTCGATACCATTTATATGACAGCCTTGATGCCGACTCTGAACACTCGGCATCTTCCCAGCTACGTGGAATCATGGCTTTCCTGGGAAATATTATTTAGATGGCCCTAGCCTTAAGGGAAGTAGACTCCTTCTCCTCAGCCACTGTGCCTAAGAGCCAAAGCAGTCTGCAAAACCCTGGTTAAAGAGGGGGATTCTGGGTCTGTGCCATAAGCCTGTATTTCAATGGAAAAAGACAAAGAACCGATGGTGATGCTACCGGTTTTGGTTACCTATTATGTGCTAGGCACTCCAGTTACTCCCCTCTATCTACAGATTGAGCCTGGTTGTTCCTAGAGGAGCCAGGCAGGAAGTAATAGGACGGTGGAAACACCCCAATTGCCTTAGAAATCACCCGGTAGCCCACCCTGTTCCCTTTCCCATAGAATTTAAGTGAGGCTGGGCACACAACTCTGCTCACGGATGAAGTCAAATATAATCTCCCCCGGACTTCAAAGCCCCAGAGGAGTGGAGTCTGTCTCGCTGGTCTCATGGGACTCACTGTGTGCTGAGAATCCCTGGCTGATACCAGAATACAAAAAGCCAGGAATCCAGAGCCCAGCACTCTGTTCTCTGAGTCAGGGCTCTAATTTAGAAATGGAATCAGTGGGAAGCTAGCCAGAGCTAAAACTGCCCTTGCTGTAAAGCACACTTGTTTGTTAGGGTGTTGGAATGCAAGTGTGTTGGGCAATCACCAGGGCCATGATGCTTCGCCACCTAGAAAACAGTCGTCAGTGACTCTGCTGCTGTGCCCTAGCCTCAGGACAGGAAGGTGAAATACCCCGATGAAAAGTCACTTGACAGCTAGCTACCCAACACTTCTCTCCCCTAAATTTGAAAAGCCAGACACCCATCCTCCAATTTCCCTTTGGCCAGGGCCCATTTTGGCTAGTATAAGAAATATACCAAAGACCTCCCCTGTGCCACTCTAAGTCCAGGCTGAGGATCATGTGATGTTTATGCCTCCCCATGACCCATTTATAGCTGTCTTACTCATAGTCACTGTGGTCCCACACACATCATAGGAGAAATGGAGTCCACTCAACACTTGTCTGCGTTTCTTCCTTTAGCCGCACACTCGGCGGGTGCTGCAGCAATTACTGCCTCCTATGGGGTACCAAATCATACAGCCATAAACACGATGACACTCAGGAGTAGTAACACTCAGAGAAAGGCAGGGCCTTGTGCTCCGGTTTCATTTGCAATGGCCAACTACCCTTGGAGCACACCGGTTCAAGCCCTCGAGTTCACTAGAGGTTAGCAGAGTAAAGCAAGGTCCTGGCATCTGTGGAGTCTTCTAAAGTATGCAAGGCACTCGCACACATTGTCCTACGGAGGCATCATGATCACGCCGTGAGGTTGGTAGTGCAAGCTATAGCAACAGCACGGAAGAAACATCATAGACCCACAATGAGAGAAGAAGGCATGTGCCACTTAGAACTCTGTCCAGGCAACCCGAAGCCCCGTAATCTTTTAAAATCTGAAACAACGAATTCGTGATCCTAGAGAAGCTAAATAAGAAGGTGAACCAAAAGAATAACATATAGTTATCCTCCTGGATATTGGAAGTAGACAAGATTGCCGGACAGGGGTTGGGAGCACGGGGGTGGGGGTAGGGTGGGGATAAGGGGAGATGAGGAGAGAGAAGGGAGAAGGGGAGGATGGGGAGAGCCTGAGGGAATGGGATGGTTGGGATGGAGGAGGGGTGGATGTGGGAGCAGGGAATTAAATATCTTAATTAAGGGAGCCATTTTAGGATTGGCAAGAGACTTGAATCTTAGGCCTAGAGACAAAGGTGTTTATATCAAAAGTACTCAGAATGTTCTTACAGCTGCCAAGCAATGGTCTGT